ACCTCCTTTTTTCGGGCAGGCTGTGTTACCGACACGTGGCTTTATAACTAAATCCAAGTGGACAAGACCGGAGATATCACTCTAATGATCTTTATTATATGAATCACAATGCAAATTCAAATTGCAATATGCGTTGAAATTGTTGAAGAAAGATTGTTTTCATATGATTGAAATATTCATATGCCAAAGATTCATTCTAGGCTAAATGTCCTAAGATAATACAATTCTCATTTCTATTTGAATATATGAATTTATCTGCATTATATTCAAATCAAGAGAAATTTAAATCTAACAAAAGAGAAGGGTGTTGTGAAAGTAAAAGTTAGCTAAACTAAAAGTCGTAAAATATAGAGAGAACAAAATGGACAAATTATTTGCAATTCTAGGAAAATAGCTAGACAAGTGAAGAAACCTCTTAACATTCTTAAAACGAGTTTCTATCAATAATGGTAAACTTATGCATCTAAAGAAAGCATTACGTTTTGAATAATAATGCTTTCTGAATAATGATGCTTTCTTTGAGAGAACGTTTCTATCAAAAATTTAGATTGCATCAGTCCCGTAACCAAGCAATCTAAATTTATGCATGTATACTTAAACTTTTGTCATTTAAATATTTAAGCTATATTATTCAGAAATTACAAGTAAAAAATTTACCACGCAAAAGACTCTTGAATATTATTTTTTATTTTTTATTTTAGAAATATTTTCTTAAAAGGGCAAAACAAAATCTCCATAATTCATATAAGTTTTAACTCTACTTTGTGCTATGTGTGAGTATTGATGTATCTCAAACTCAGGTGAGTGTCTGGATAACTTCACTTGCGTAGAATCTGCTCTTATTTTTACTTGAGAATGTGCAGTTGTCAGGTACAAAAAAAAAAAAAACAGAGTAGTTGTGATTTTTTTTTTTTAGGGTCTGAATGGTGACAGCGTATTTGGCGGTATATAAAAAGCAGGTTTTAAGTGCGGTACGGTCGTACCGCGGTACATGCGAGAAAAATATATCTGCGGGAGAAGTGCGATTTTTGTAGAATAAGCGGTAAGGAATAATCTTTGATTGGTGAAAAAATAATTTGCAGGATACATATATAAGTTTTAAAAAGTATAGTTAATATTTTTTTATATATATTTTACTTTATAGTGTATATATATATATATATATATGTGCGTTTTTAATCCAATCATGAAAATATACATCAATGTTTTAATAATTTAGTATAGTATTGAGTAATTTTGTTTAAAATTTAAACAAAAATAGTTTACATATAAGACAATTAGTTGAAAAAATGAACATATAGAGACTTTAAAATCAATATCTTACTCTAAATCAGTTTAACTAACTATAATATTATAAATTATGTAAATTCTTTTGTTTATATAAAATAACTATTCAAAAAAAATTAAAACTAGAAAAAAACTATTCAAAAAAAAAGAATAAGAAAAAACACAAATATGAGAGAGTTAGAGATAGTGTGAGTGAGAGAGAGTTTTGTTTTTGGCACATGTGCATATTTTCATAAAAAATCGAAAAAAAAAAAGAAAAAAAAACATGTATTACCCGGTGCGGTTTTAGTTAGACCACTGGGTAAACACTGCCTCTGATTTTAAAAGCGGTCCAAAGCTTTATCTGTTAGACAATTACGCGATTTGTTTTTTTTTCTTTTTTTTTCAAAAACGTCAATATATTAAAATAAGCTTGAATGGTGAATATATGTGCGTTATTCATAAAAGGCTTGAAAACCGTACCACATGTAGGTCACCATTCACAGCCTGAATATCTGGAAGTTCAAGCCCGAAGGTCCTACATCTCCCAGAAGCAGGACCCACACCAGGTTAAATTCATCTCTTTTGGAGAAGAGATCCCTTCCAACGAACGTCGAACCCAGTACCTCTACCTAGGAGATTTACCACTGGACCAACACAACATTGATAGGAAGAGTAGTTGTGATTCTTTTTTTTTTTTTTTTTTTTGAATATCGTTAATACACAAGATACTAGAAATATTGAGGATAGTTGGTCCTTGAAACCGTCTTGCTTTGCATCATTTGTCACAAAAGAAAGCTACATTTCGGTCTGATTTTCGGATCATATTTTGTTTAAACTTACACTATTTGTCATATTCTACAATCTTATTAGTTGGCTAATTAATTTGTAATACACTTAAACTTGTTAATGCCTATCATTGAAACTATAGTTTAATGGGAATTAATAATAGTTCTTCAGTTTGAACATAAGCTAAAATCAATGATTGCAGATAAAATAAATAAAAACAAAAGACTAATGTTCAAAGAAGTTTCACGGGGACTTTTCATTGGTGATTGATCGATCATATAGTATCTTCTAAGTTCGAAGGACGCGCAACACACACACACATGCATTTATCTGACTGGATGTATCAAACATTAGTGGTACGGCTTAATATAAAATCTGAACAGCTGTTAAGTGAATAATATAATAATATGAAAGTACACAACACGTCTTTGTCCTCTAACCGTACATTACATTCACTCTGGCAACTAGTAACATTCATGTGCCAGCTTATCATGTCATGGCCCGGCCATATGTTGTTCATTCTCTTCTCTTTCTTTTTCTATCATATATTAATTGATCAGCCAAGAATTAAGAGAAAAATTGTAACCTTTTTATATATAAATGTACCTTTATATCTTTAATTTTATAAACATTTTCAAGTCATGCCATTCATTTGATCTGTTTCTAACTGATTAATTTAAAATTATTTTTTTAGCCACATATTTATCTATAAATTTTAAATCCTATACATTTTATAAGAAATGAAATGTCAAAAGAATTCTTTGGTTTGCAACTGTTGCTGAATTGTTAAAATTGTCATAACATTTAAATAGCATAGAAATATGTAAAATTGATTTTCTAAATGCATTAAAGATGGTGGTTGTTTTACGCATTAAGAACACATTTTAATGGTATTTGGTCCATATAAATTTAATTTTAAAAAGAAAAATGTCCACACAAACTCTGTGGACCAAGGACCATATCAAGTATTTTATCATGAAATTATGTTTTACTTGATGCAACACGTACTATGGGTGAATTTAAATTTGATAAAATTGGTAAACGGTTATTTTATTTTAACCGTCAACTAATGGTTTTTGCGTAAATTATTAGCGTTAGATATGTGACGTATTTACAAATTAAACAAGATTAACTTCTTTTATTTTGTCACAAACAAAATTAAAATACAACTTTGTAGGTAGAAAATTGCATTTTACTTGCTGATTCTCTGCATTTCCCGAATGAAAAGATATAGAAGAATAATGAAAATATAAAAGGTAGTGAATAATGAATAAAAAACTAGTGAAATAAAAGAACTAATCTACGATGGATCCGAGCAATAATCTGAATAAAAAGCTTTGTTTCTTCCCATCTTTCTTCTTCTGATCTCTATACCGATATTGCAAAGGAGATGAACAAGAAGAGACCGAAGAAGAAGAGTCGCAAGACGAGACCGACGAGGAAGAAGATGTTGATGACGAGCCGCAATACGTCGCCGTTTCAGCTGCCTTCTTAGTGTAGTCGTAGTACTCCAGAGACAGCTTAGAGAGCCTCTCGGTGAGACAGAGGGAACAGATTCCAGGAGACTGTCTATGTTTCGTGTGCTTCTTGCATGAGAAGTTATTGTCTGAATCAGAATTTGAATCTGATCTCTTTTCTTCAGCTTTCTTTGATTTCATTGTTCTTCTTGTTCTTCTGTTGATGAGAAAATTCGCCATTGATAACTAAGAGTCTGTCGTGAGCTTTGTTCTTGAATTGAATTTGTCTTTTCTTTTTCAACATCTCGTGTTTGTATTTATAAGTGTGTCGTGTATTTAATGCAAAGCTGGTTTTAAATTTCCATGATGTTTCCGGGATCATTCACTTATTTGTTTTTTCATTTTTTAAAAGGAGATAGGCCCACAAGTTTATTTGTTTTCAAAATGTTTATTATCGAATTTAGTTAACACTTGTTCGTTTATTATTAGTCCTCGTTGTAAGCTTATTTGATATTCTGATATATATAACCATTTTTCAGCATCAGTATTTACTAATTTATCAATTAGTTAAGAACTTAAGATAAGCTAGACATTTTGTTTATGTGTGAATGAAAAAAGTTGGTAGGGTAGATGCAAACTTTATTAATTTATACCAAACTTTTTGTTGGTTTTAGTTATGAGATCTGGAGTGGTTACTGTGTGTTTTTTAAATGGACGGCTTAGATGTATTAAGATCTGAAGTCGGGTCCACCTAATTAGGTAAGTCGGTGGGCCGGTGTTATTGGGCCTCTATACTCAAATGTCCTATGAGGTCAATGCCCATCTGGCAGTTGTCAATGCTTTCTCTAGACTTTCAACTTTCAAGTCTTTCATGATCAACCCACGTATAATTTATTTAAGTATTCATAATTTCAGAATCTTAAAATACTCTCTCCGTTTCGTTTTAGTTGTCGTTTAAAGTTTTCTCACACAAATTAAGAAAAACATTAAAATTTCTGTTTTACCTTTTATTAATATATCTTATAAATTTTTTCATTGACCAAAACATTAAAACAATAGGAATAATACTGTAATTTTTACCAAATATTTGTATTGAAAATCTAAAACGACAACTATTACGAAACAAAATTTAAGTCATAAACGACAAATAAAACGAAATGGATGGAGTATTAATTAAAAAAGTTGTCTCCAGATTTCTGTAGTTAAAGAATATTTGGTAGGACAATACCAAATTCATTAGTATTTTATGTTGTAAATCACGCAAAAAAATCAGACGAAAATGTGAATAGTGTCGGAACTTTTGGAATAATACACAAATTCCAAAAGGGCAAATTTTACTTTTTATTATCTAAATTTGCAAGGTTGTTAATTGCAGTATCAATTAAAAAATGTTAATTTTTATGGATGGTGCTTCGTATTTAATTTACTTTTTTATTTCCTAAGAAAGCGAAAAAAAAAATCGTGGGAATGAAATGAAAATACGAGACAAAACATAGGAAAAATCATGAGAGATAATTAATAATAAGAAGCATATAATAGCACTGCCTCTAGCCTGGTCCTTCAAACGAGTCAAACCACAGCAAAACACTTGAAACCAACTAATTAAGAGAGAGCCAAAGCATACAACAATGCAACTACAGAAGTCACAACCAAAGCATCCAACGGCTTCAACACGGCCGTGCCCGAAGCAGAAGGACTAGCCTTTTTACCTTCTGAAGGTGTAGTTTTTCCGTCTTGTACGGGTGTATTTTTGTCAGTGGTACCGTCTCCAGTACTGCCGCCTGATGAAGCTGCTGGAACGGTGACAGAGAGCTTCATGCCGCCGGTGCAGTGGCCGGGGATACCGCAGATGAAGTAGTGAGGACCAGATGTCTTGAGAGCTATACTTGTGGTTCCACTACTGTCCGAAGAAATTGCGTTCCCCAATGTGCAACTCTTGTAGTCACTTTCGCTCACTTCGTCCACCGTGTGACCCGCACCGTAGTTGAACACTATACGCAACACAATGTACACATTCATATAAATCTATATTACAAATTTACAACTATGACTTCGAAATTGTTCTTTTGCAAACAAGGTATAAAAGCATTATGTTAATGGCAAACACAGAAAGATTATACGTACTTTACAAAAGGATATTATCAAAAAACTTTTAAAAAATGCTTTTAAAATGTAAAACTTTCACATGTAAATGCAAAAGCATGTATTAGTGGTTGAAACAATTGCAGACTATACGTATAAGAGAGACAATGTATATGTACATACCGATGGTATCGCCAACAGCGAAGGACTTTCCGGTAGCCAACGAGCTATAGTCTTTCCCGAGCGACCATTCGACGGGGTGACTGGCAGAAGAAGCAGGTGCAAACACATTGAAGAAGATGATGACAAGAAAACCAACAAGTGTACTCAAGTTTGCCATTTTTGTGTGTTGAGTGTAACAGTATCTTTATTCTAATAAAATTGTGTGACAAAGGAAATTCCTTGTAAGTTGTGATCAAATATATAGAGAGATTGGAAACAAATTAAAGGATATGTTGGAGTTAGTAGAGTTAGGTCCACTTACCCTCCAACTAAAGCTCTCTCATATCATTTAAGTTTTGAAAACTTTTTTCATATTTAGGGATAAAGACTTGTTCCTCCTCTGCTCTAGCTTTAGACATACATCAACAAAAGGAAATGTTGCTACACAATGGGTCATAAGAGGTTTGGTGACACATCATAAAGTCACACTCAAAAACCCTTTGTAAAAAGATAAATGATGATGTCAACCAAAGTAGTCACGATGTGTCATCAAAGTTCGCTTAATGATTCAATATAATGGACCAAACCAAAAGCAGATGAACAAACTTTTCTTACGAGCAATCACTGAGACTTTGCAACAACTAAATATCGAGTATGTGACGTATATTAATTTAATTTAATTAATTTTTTTAACACTAACAAGAGTCGTAGACCTCGTTCTATAACATTTTATTTGACTAATATTTAGTATGGTAAACAACAAATCAAGGAGGTTTCTCCTTTCAAAATCAAATTTCTGCGAAACATATAGATTTCTTAAAATTGTACAATAATGCTTCAGTCATACTAAATTTAGAATCTAAGTTACTAAAAAGGTGATAGTTGAGTAATTAGTTTGAAAAAAAACAAAATCTATCTCACCGAAAGGTGCAAAACAAAGCATGCACATGATATGATAGAGACGCAGCAACTAATTATGCTGGTCGTTAGACTGCCCACATAAAAGCAATATACAGTATTAACTACTTCATCCGTTTCGTTTTAGTTGTCGTTTAAAGTTTTTTCACACATATTAAGAAAAACATTAAATTTTCTGTTTTACCTTTTATTTATATATTTTATAAAAAATTCATTGGCCGAAACATTAAAACAGTGGGAATAAAACTGGAATTTTCACAAAACATTTGCATCGAAAACCTAAAACGATAACTATTATGAAACAAAATTTTAACTCTAAAACGACAAATAAAACGAGGGAGTATTAACTAAATTATGTTAATGTTGACTATTATTCATTGATTTGTCTTTCGCATTTGTAAGGTACTCAAATAATACTATAATGTTTTTAGTAGACTATTATAGGCCTGTTTAAACAGCAAAAATGGGTTTTTTAGTTTAGGTCCATAAAACATCTAATAATTTTTTTCATAAGCAGCCCATTATTCTTTGAAATTTGTCCAAGTGTGTTGATATTGGACAATTGTTAAGAAAATAAAGAACCTTCCTGAAAAAAAAACAAAAACAAAAAACAATTTGCACACCAGTGAAATACTAAATAGTTAACTTGGACAGCACACCAATTCTTGGTAAAACATTAGAGGCTTTGTCTTTGTGTACAAAGAACTTCCTAAAATGGTAAATTGAGAAAATTAGAGTCATACTCTTTTAAGTTTTATCTATTGGTAAATTGAGGAAATTAGAGTTCTTACTCCTTACATGCGTATGTGGTTAAACCAATAGAGTATGTATTGCATGTTATTCCATTTTTGTGGAACTGAATTTTTGAAAGTTTTACTCATGCAGAGTTGTTTCGTACATCTTGACGATTGGACGACCTAAAAATTGTAAGCTGTAAAAACAAATTATATCGTAGATGACACTAGTTAAGTTACAACTTACAACATAAAACATTATTATTAGTAAGCTTTTTATTTTCAATATATTTTTAGGTCGTAAATCAACAAAAAAAAGTTAGTGGAAATGATGAACAATATTATTGTAGTCATTTGAGACTTAATTGGTTCAAAGGGAAAACTTTAAGCATATTCTAGTTCTGTGTCTATTACATGCTATATAGTATACCATGTTTGTGTCACTACTAATGTGTGATCTTAAGAAAACATTTTTATCAGATCTAACAGATCAAGTTAAAAGTTTTTTTTTTTTCTTGCAGTCTCAAAATAATTTTAATATTATAATTCTGCCGAAGCCCGATGGCCAAGGCCCAAAAAAAGATTAAAACTTTTACTTAAATCTTCGAAAGCCAAAGAGTCAAAAGCTCAAAGGTAAAATATGGCTTTCATGATTACGACTCTTCACCAATTAAACAATTAGAAGACGCTTCAACCTCCACTGAACAAGTCAACAACGAAGATGAGAAGAAATTTTCATCTTTCTCATTAATGTGAAAGAGAAACCCAAAGATAATATCAAATCTTCTTCTTCATTATCAAAACCTAATCAAAATAACACAAAAAAAAAAACTCAATGAAATTCTCTTAATTTCAATTTCTTGTACTCCAAGCAACGAACGACTTGGTGTTTTGATTGTTTTCTTTAATGGCGAAGAAGAAGCATCGCAAGCTCTTCCCTACCTTAGCATCAGAGACAAACAAAACGTTAGACTGCTCGAACGGAGTCTGCGACCCGATTTGCCCTTACAATTGCTATCCAGAACCCGATTACTACGCCATATCACCACAGCTCCCTCCATGGTCATCGTCACCAGCTCCATCTCCATCTCCATCTCCATCAATCTCAGCCGTTTATCAACCAACTCAAAACTCATCATCTTCCTTGGACGCCATAAGCATCATCACCATAACCGGTGCGGTCTTAGCCATCCTTTTAACCGGATTCTTTCTTGTAGCGAAATTCGTTTCAGACAGCGTAAACCGTGACAACCACGGAAGATATCAGTCCGATAACGAAGACAACGACACGGTAATGGGAGAAGAGTTTCAAGATAGGGAACAAGTGGATCACCCAATATGGTTAATCAGAACAACAGGTCTACAACAATCAATCATAAACTCGATTACGATCTGTAATTACAAGAGAGGAGATGGTTTAATCGAGAGAACAGATTGTCCTGTTTGTTTAAACGAGTTTGAAGAAGATGAGAGTCTTAGGTTATTGCCTAAATGTAACCACGCTTTTCACATCTCTTGTATTGATACTTGGCTTAGTTCTCACACCAATTGTCCTCTGTGTCGTGCTGGTATTGCGATGATCAGTGTTACCACTCCACGGTGTTCCGGTCCGGTCGATGTAACTCCGGGAGGACTAGGCTCACATTTGGAAAACGATGGAGTTGGTGAAGAAGGTCAAGATCATCTTGGGAGAGAGAGGGATGAATCTGATTTCAAAGAGAGGGATGATTCAGACAACAGAGACCTGAATTCAGATGTAAGAATTGAGATTAATCGGGGTTTGGAGGAAATCGACGGTGATGGATCTGAAACAGAGACGAAAGAGAAAGTTAGGGTTTTTAGAGAGTGTATGGATTCAAATGAAGCAGATTCGATTAATTCTCTCTCGCATATGAAAACCCATAAAGAAAGTGTCGATTTTCCGGGAAAATCATGCGAGAATCAGAGTCAGGAATTCACCAGACCCAACGGAGAAGACGAAGCAAGCTGCTCTGAGAAAAACGGTGGTCACGTCGACCAATTACGGAGAAGTTGTGATTCCATTGATTCTGGTGAATTGAACGGCGAAAGAACCGAAGAAACAGAGAAAAGCCAGTCAGATATTTCGTCGAGCACGTTGAAGACAAATGGAAGCTCCTCCTCAGTATCATGTTTGTACAAAAACAAGAGTTCGATTTCTCCGCTGTAGTAAAAAGTCTCTACCAAAACCATTTTTTCGAATGTAAAATGAGTACATAACAATGCAGAAGTGTTCATGTGTATTAAAGTGTATATTGTATACACACACTCTATTTTGTTTTCTCTTTTCACATATGTGCGCCCAAGTATAAATTATCTCTATCTTCAATTTGACAAAGTAGGAAATCTAGGTAAAAGTCTGCCGACTTAACAAAAAAAAAAAAAAAAGGTAGAAGTCCATAATAATTTCTAAACCCCAATTTGTGATAAATTATTCCAAAATTTAACCAAGTGGTAGAGGTCTAATGGTTTTCACTTGAGAACAAATTATCATATATATCTAGGTCAGGATCTATTTTCAAATGGTATGTCTAAGTGATGTTTTGTATTAGATTTAGGCCTATTAAAAACTCTAGTGAAAATGTTACTCGAGAGATACACTCACTCTTAGAAGATTAATTGGATGGTAAAAGTCCGGATCACTCTCTAATTATCAAAAAAAAAAAAAAAAAAAATTGAAAATTTGTAGACTATTTCAAAAATATACATGCTTTTAGATTAAGCATCACATATTCAATTTTTTTTTTTAAATGTGGTCGTCTACTCTAGAGATGAGCGTACTAATTCGAAAAAGAGTTTTCCCCAAACCCACCTTGGATAACAATTGAAATGAAATCTAGAGTTATCAATTGGTCCACCACATGAAGGTTAGACTTAGACCACCATGTACTGGTTGTATTATCAAATTTAATATCATATGAGTATGACTTTTGCAATTTTATACCTAACATGACCAATTCAAAAATCGAAATACTTCCTAGTTCATACAAGCATCATCCACATGAGATATGTCAGAATCCAGGGAGCAGTATTTTATTCTGTAAAAAAATTCTGGTTAGATTTAAATTAACACATTAATTCCGACTCATAACGAGAACGGTTAATATATTAATACTTGCGTGTGTGTATATAACAAATGGTGGACGAATGTTAAAGATTCACATATATAGTCCGTTTAATCGAAATACTTTAACCCATTTGTTGCCATAAAATGGTAACGAAGAATATTATTATGCAACAGAGGAAAATGTGGGCCCATAACTTTGATACAGAAAAGCCCAAATCCATAAATGGCCTAACACCTATACTCATTTTAACCCAATCGAATACTTTAAACGGCGTTGTTTTTTATGAGGTTTAAAAGCCATATCTTATTATAAAATATGGTTTTCAAAGTTAATAACTCATAGGATCGTGACATGTGTCAAATCTATCGATCTTAGATTTTGACACGTGTAAAACAAAAATTTCCTTTTTAAAATATATAAAAAGATAATTGTACATAATTATAAATTTAAATAATTTTAAAAATGTAAAAAATATTTATAAAAAAAGTTAATTATAAAAAAATTGTAAATTTAAAAAGTTTTAAAATGTAAAAAGATAACTAGAAGGAAATTATACCTATATTTCCATAAGAGATTTTGCCATATAGTAAACAAAAGTTTTGTTTTTAACAACTTAAAAATATAAAAAGAAAAATATATGTATATAAGAAAATAATATGTATATTTTCCACAAAAAGACGAAATTATAAAATTATGCTAAAATGTTTATTTAGAAGTTACTAACTGTACAATATAAAGATTTAAATATAGAAAAAAGATTTAAAAAATTATAAAATCATTTATTAATCGTATAAGAAAAAGGATAAACAAATGGATTGTTTCATATTTTTCACCAAGCAAACTTATTTATTCAGAAACACCATCATTGCTTTAACTTTTCTATTGGTAAAAAATGGCTCTCAACCAAAAGACAAACATACGACAACATATTGTAATTTGGAGAAAAAAAACATGAAATAAATACTAATAAAACGCAATCTAAAAATAAAGATTATCAATACTAGAATTCTGAGACGAAAGAGAGACATCTAACGAGAAATTAATAAAATAACATGTCTTACTAAAAAAAATAAAAGTAGTATGTGATTGTTATGGAGGTGACGATGGTGGTGGTTGATGGTTACGGAAGTGTTGATAGGGTAATTTTAAAAAATAACATGAATCATGTAAAAATTATATGCATTCATCATTTGTTGAAAACACTTATAAAAAAATAGCATGTCATTTATAAAAAAAAAAACACTTTGAATCATAATGGTTTTCTAAAAATAGCATGTGATATTCAGATCCAAGAAATATATGACAGTGGAGAAAAATTAAGAATTATGAATGACGATGGACATAGACTAGAGTTGTTGTCGCAAAGGCTCGGCCCGATGTCGGAGGAGCTAAAGAAGGTGGAGAAATAATTAAGTGCAGTTGGAGAAAGATGACAAGAGACGGTAATCGTGGTATTGGTGTTGATGACTGTGATTCAAGTATGGTGGTGTTGGCGGTAAATATTGACGAAGGTGGTGGGTCAAAATTAGCGAGATTTGGTATTGATGGTGGTGGTGATTGTGATAGTAATGAGATCTAGTTGTGGTGGTGGGTCGGAGTAGTGAGACTCGGTGGTGATGCCCGACGAAGGAGAGAAATGGAGATAGAGAAAAAGAAAAAAGATATGGTACTAAAGAATCCGACAAGAGTGAGAAAAGGAGAAACAGAAGATCGAGTAAAAATAAGAGAATCTAATGAGAGAAAGAGAGAGATTTGAGACTTTTTCGCCGGCGAGGGGAAGAAAAAAAGAGAGAACGAAAAATAAATGGGTAATATGGGGTAAAAATTAACAAAAGTCATGTAGCAAATAGACATTGTTTAGTCAAATGGTAATTTTTTATTTTTGTTTTATTCTTAAGTTATTTAGTGTCATATTTTTGTTTTTAAATTGTCCACATTAAAATTATAAGATGTAACACTCTTCCGATGGATTTAAATAATTTACTAAAATGAAGAAAATAATAATAATAATAATTTATTAAAATTCAATGATACAACATATAAACATTTTATGAATATCATAACTTACAATAAACAAAAAATTATATAATTTTATAAATAGGTCAATATTTATATAAGAAGATTTAATAATTAGTGTAACATATATAACTACAAATAGTATTTTATATTGCGCATTATGCATAGTAAATTTATATTTAAAAATAATTAAAATGCTGTATTTTCTAAAATTTAAACATATATGTTTATACAATTTTAGTTAAGCTTACAAAAATAAAATAAAAAAATTAAGAATGATAATTTTGACGGGCAACCCGTGCAATGCACGGGTCCATATCTAGTATGATATAAGACATAGACATGAAAAAGGTATGGACCTATGGTGTTCAAAATTTTTTTTCACTTTTTTATGTGAAAACATTTATTCCCTTATGATCATATAAACCAGCGGTGGAGAAATATATCCACTTCAATCACATCTAAAACCAAAATTTACTTAAAGCAAAGTTAAGGAAAAGTTGATGATTCTAAGTCTCAATCATGAAAAAAAGATGCTAAAATCTAACAGTCAGCTATATAATGGAGGTCCATCCTTATTGATAAAAATAGAGGGAATAAAATTTTGATTTTTGGTGTAATCACATCGATAGGCTTTACTTTTTACTTTTCCTGGCTTTTGCTTTTTAACCCTAAAAGTGAAAAAAAAAAAACAGAGATTCGAAAGATCTTTGATATGTCTTCATGATAGGACAATCATCATCGTCTTCTTGCATGAATCCCATGTACTGCTGAGTGCTGATTCTATGCCTCCAAGTTTTCAAGAAAAAAAAGTTTAAAGATTAATTCAAGGGAATATAAAAAGAGTTGTTGGATATATCACTGCCATCATCTTGATTCATGATCGTAAGTTTCTCTACTTTGTATTCGTCAATCATTTTCTTAACTTCTTCTGTCTCCCTAATTTGTTTGTATACCTTATTGGGAATTGGGATTATGTAATCCCATATGTATAATATGGACCATGGTGTTAATTTAGACTCTAAGTGGTGTTTTTATATTTTGATGCAAAACGATGATTTGAAAAAACATTGCTGACTGGATATAATTAAGAAGAGAAAAAGAGGTTAATAATTCATCATCTCTTCGTATAGAAAGTGTCCAATTCTTTTTGAAAAAAAAAAATTAATCACACTTTCTCTTAAACGGTGGATTAATTTGAAATTATATTAAACCAACAACCCTTTTTGAAATCTAACAAAGCTTAATACCAAAATTTCACATTTAATGGAAAATCCACCAAAATGTTTTGCATTTTTTTTTTTAATAATTTTTTTAATCCAGAAATGTGTACCGTAAATTCCTTCCTTTAGGTAAATACTTCTAGTGAAAGTGTAAAATGAATTTTCTAATTATTCTCCTAGGTGAAATTAAAATTACTAAACTCAAATGTCATTCAATTGATTGGCAAAACAGGAAAACCGAAAAACGAGTAAGATGCTGCATGAGTGTATGGAACTCATACAAGTAAGTACTCGCGAGGATATATGTAAGAACTCTGACTCCGTTGGTACATTTATATATAATAAATCTTTTTGTTTATCGTAAATACATTTTTTCGAATTATTTCAGTTCGAAAAATCAATGAGGCAGGAAATGTCAAAGTAGAATTATCGTTAAAGCGAATTCAAAGAATTTGTTCAGTAAACAATCATGAGAAAGGTTGAAGTCATTGGAGCATATCACACTCATTATTTTTATTATTATAGTTTTGAAATTTATATTACACTCATTATTCTTTACAAAAATTATACATTCTTACAAAAAAATCATTCTCCGTGAGACATAAACTAAGAAACCTGTTTTATACTGTACTTTTTAATTATTTAAAATTACTTTTGTTTGCTCTGGTGGAAGAGGAATTATTCTACTATAGAAACAAAAGGGAAAAATATTAAAGAACCACATTTCTAAAATAATTATATATATTAGTTTGATCCATATTATTATATACTATACAAACTACATCGATTATTTATTTGTATTTTCTTAGTAAAATACCGATAATATCTTGTAGTTCTGAAAGTGCTAATTATCTGAAACGGATTACCAGTACGCCTTATACGCATGCAGTATATATATAGTAGGATAGATGTAGCAGTGCTAAGACAAAAAAAGGAAGACATTGTTGTTGGAACATTATTACGACTGATGGAATTTAAGATGTAGGAACAAAGTTAGAAATATTCAGTGGGATTTGATTTCAAATTTTCCTTTGATTTAGGAAACCGAATAATATTTGAAAAATTTGTACAAATTTCATGTAGTGTCATAATGCAAGTATTAATTATGAATAAGCAAAAGAGAATTTTCAATGTGTTTGCTTACCCCAAAACTAGTGGTGGATTGAGTCTGAAAAATCTCTCCAATTAAGAATTAAGTTTTCGACGACCCCAAACTAATTGTGTCATTGTTTACGTACGATCGAATAGTGGCCCTTCGCGGGTGTCTTGGATGTCATGAGTATTCAAATATGAAACATCTGATTCAGGAACATGTGAATCCCATATCAAACTTTTTTCTTACCGCACATTTAGATATCATGACTTCATATAATTAAAGCCATCGCTCTAGCCTCGTTTAGTATGGATCAAAGCTCCTTCATCATTCACCATGATTAACTGCATATCATGAACTCATTTTTCAAGCTTATGTTTATGAGATTTGGAACAAAGGAACTTCACATATCGGAAACACGGCAGCATCCATCATCCTCCGAGATATTAAACAAACAATGCGGAGCAGTACCTTACCTCACGGTTTGGTTCAAGTATTTTCAGCTATCGCACAACTAATCAAATTGTTCAAGTCATCTTTTTTTTTTTGTGTGTGCGAGCAAAATCAATTGCTCAAGCTTACTATTGTCGTATAGAATTCTTTATAAGCTAGTTCCTCTTTTTGTTCAAAAAAAACAAAAGAAAAGAAAAAAGAGTAGCTAGTTCCTCTTTTGTAATCGGTCTAAAGGTCAATCACACAAAAAAAAAAATCCTAGGCTCCTAGCAAAGTTTTTTTTTGGTATTAGAATTAACGTTAACAAAACGAAAAGTGAAAAATTTCAATATGAAAAAGAGATAGTAAAATATTAAAATTTTAATATTTAATTTTATTTAGTTTAATATAGAAAAAGAGAGAGTACTAAAAGGTCACACATGAAAAATTAGAGTTCCTCTAAGTGTGTGGTGTCATAACTAATATTCAACAATATTAGCTAAAGGATGATTCTTCTTCGATCCTCCTCAGGATTTGATTCACAGCTGCTGCAATATCTTCCACTGTATTCAATTGGCTCCCTTCTTCAACCTGAATAAACCCATTATTTTTAAAGTTAAAAATAAAAGATATAAGTTACATGAAAAAGGTTGATATAGTACCACTGAAAAAGTAAAAAGATGATTAAAGAAAATGTTTATATTTCGAGGAAGAAGCTTATGAATGTGTCCTGAAACAAGTGGCGTCATTTCGTTCTGCCGTGCACAGTGCATCCACAGTTCTGTGACCACCAAACATACCCAGTACACATATATATACACACATTCACACATGTGTAGGCATATGTCATCTTTTTGGTCCCTGATTCTTACAAGAATCAATATTATGATAGTACTTTTGTTTATTTTTTAATAAATAAGAAATGATGATTTTGACCCCCCAATAATTGAGGCCAGCCCTAACCAAGTAAAAAAGAACGAGAAAAAAGGAACGATTTATATTTTTGTTCTTGGAAAACCTTTTTTTGGCCCAGACAATTAAATCACAGCACCTACTATAATAAGAGACACATTAAATGAACAAAACATTTGTGATTGGGAATATAATTAATGAATCATTGACCCAAAACTAACAATGAGAATAATGATTAGTCACCCATTAATTAGATACCACTTTAATATGGATTTGCAAATTTGCAACCCACTAACCCTAAAAAACGGTATTATATATCATGATCACTCTAATCTCGTTAGAAAAATAAAAAATGGTGAAAGCAGAGAGAGAAAAAAATGTACCTTGACGCTGATGGAATAGAGGACGGAGTCGTCTCGAGTGGTGACGTTGAGATGGAGAAGAGTGAGCCTTAGGCTCTGTATCGATGAGACCAGTTTAAGAAGCTGTCTCGGTCGCTTTTTCGCAAGTATCTTCAGACTCGCATGGCTCTCCACCATCGTCACCTCTATCTCCGCCATCCCCTCAGCCACCGCGGCAGACGTAGGCCGGTTCGAGTACTGAGGAAATGCAAAGAAATCCGAGAATGGCCCCGATGAGCTAGCTGCGGTTGTGTTGATCTGGTCGCAGCCGGCTCCGGCGTCTTCTACGGTGGTCTTGACCGGAGGCTCCATTGATTGTAAATGATGCTCAAGCTCTTTTAAGTAGTTAATGGCTCCGCCTACTATCGACGCTTGATCTCCCTTTAAACACCACCGACCATAGGTTAGTTTAGTTAGCCCATAGAAATTGCAAAAACAATCAAACATTTCTATATTTCGTACCTTAATTTTTTTTTAAATATATTATGTCACCATCTCATCTTACATCTATAATATGTATAGTCCCTTTTGGGTGCAATGATTGTCAAGACTTTATTTATGCTCCCACAATTCCACTAACAAAATTTTCATTTAGAGAA